TATATATAATACTTTGCATCCGCTAACCCCAAACTCCCACCCCTTCCCTCCCCCAACCCCCTCCCCCTTGGCAACCACAAGTCTGTTCTTTATGTCTGTGAGTCTGTTTCTGTCTCATAGATAGGTTTGTTTGCATCATATTTTAGATTCCACATATAAGTGATATCATGTGGTATTTGTCTTTCTCTTTCTGACTTACTTCACTTAGTATTATCATCTCTAGGTCCACCCATGTTGCTCCAAATGGCATTATTTCATTCTTTTTTATGGCTGAGTAGTATGCTTCTTTTTGAAGATAAAGATGAAGATTCCTTATCTTTGCCTGCCTGCCTTTGCTCCCCTCTTGCTTCACTCTTACCTCTTTCCTTATATTATAGAAATATTACTACAATTTGAGTTCATTGAGACTTTTTTCCCCCTCTCTCTCCTTTATTCATTCATCCACCAATTCACCCAACAAACATATCAAGGACTATGCTAGATGCTGGAGACAGAGATGAGTAAGAACTGGTCCCTATTGTTGAGGAGCTCACAGTCTAGCATTTCCCCAAAGTCTCTCTAAATGGATATTTCCTTTTCTTCATTCCATGGTACTTTAGAATGGTATAAGACATTAAATAAGAATCCATATGTTTCCAGAGTCGGTTCTAAAGAGTGAACTTCACTCTAATCAAATGGCTGCCAAATAGAATAGATCCTATTGTTTGATCAAGTTACATGTAGTTTTGCCTGTCATAAAAAAATAATAAAAGTTTGACACCCAGCGTAGTTAAGTAAAGCATGGCACATGCAAATGATGGAATAATATACAGCCATTACAATTATGTTGTAGAACATATTGTACAAGATAATTCCAATTTTGTAAAAAAAAAAGTATGCATAAAGAAAACAAAGGACTGGAAGGATATACATCAAAAAGAGTAGTGGTTATCTCCAGGTATGATGGATAGGATAAAAGTGATCATTGCTTTCTTCTTCAGACCTTCTATGCTTTCCAAAAATTTTACAGTGAACAGTTATATTTTTGTAATCAGAAAAGTATATATATAATTAAAATGAAAGAACTCTCATGAAGACAGGGACTGAGTTTTTACCTGTCTTATAGTATTTACAGAGCTTTAGGAGTGCTTTGTAAATGGTGAATAACAATTAACAGAATTGAGTACTATGCCATAAATGTAACAAGGCTGAAAATGAGTGTTGAATTGCAGGCCACACTCTTACTCAACACCTTCCCTGTCGTCCATCAGCCCATTTATGTTAGAGCTTTTCATCTGTGGCTGATACATACTCAAACCTATCAACTATGGGCACTCTTGGCTTACTCAAAGAGAAAAAGTAGATATTTATTTTAAGGACATGAAGGTTCCAGGGTGTGAAGTCCCAAACCTTTCATAAGTCAGCTCTATTTCTCTTATAATACTAACAAGTATCTATTAAACACCTGCTATATGTCAGGCAAGTGCACACCTCAATCTTAGTAGCATTGCTATGCGGTATCATTATCCCCAGTATTTCTTTCCAGTCTTTTTCTAAGTATACATGTATATAGAATTTCTCTACAAAGTTGGTATCATATTTTAACTCCTGTAAAAAATGTAACGTTATATCTGGAGCGTTTTCATTTCTCATTTGCTTTTTTAATAGACTTTATTTTTTGTTTTTGTTTTTTTTAAGGAAGATGTTGGGGGTAGGAGTTTATTAATTAATTTATTTATTTTTGCTGTGTTGGGTTTTTGTTTCTGTGCAAGGGCTTTCTCTATTTGTGGCAAGCGGGGGCCACTCTTCATTGCGGTGCTCCGGCCTCTCACTATCGCGGCCTCTCTTGTTGCGGAGCACAGGCTACAGACGCGCAGGCTCAGTAGTTGTGGCTCACGGGCCTAGTTGCTCTGTGGCATGTGGGATCCTCCCAGACCAGGGCTCGAACCCGTGTCCCCTGCATTAGCAGGCAGATTCTCAACCACTGCGCCACCAGGGAAGCCCCTGTAGACTTTATTTTTAAGAGTAGTTTTAGGTTTGCAGCAAAATAGTAATTTGTAGTAACGGTTGTTAATTACTACATCCATTGTATGAATATAACCAAAATTGATTTGACCAATTTTCTATTGTACATTTAGATGGCTTTCTTATCTCTGTTTTAAAGATGAGAAAAATAAGACCAGGTTACTTGACAAGAGACAAATCCAAAGTCAACTGGTTAAAAAGCAGGCAGAGTTGAGATTAGAATTCTGGTCTATCTGTCTCCAGAACTCACACACATTGCCTCTGAATACACCATCAGTCCCCTTTAGATTGTCTCCCCTCAGTTTGAAACCAGGCATTCTCCACAACCAGAGCAGTCAAGGATCCAAGCATGTGTTGAGAAGGGCAGGCAATACAAAAGAACGACGTGACCCAACTGAGATGGAACAAATTGAAAATGCAAAAGGAGGTACAGGGACACAGAAATAAGCAGAAGGTGTGAGATGGGTACACAGTATACTGGTTAAGATAGAGAAAGCTGCGTTTGGGAAACCTAAAGGGGAAAACTCTTGCTTTTATCTCTGTATATAGGAGAGAGCAAAGATAACCTCAAGGCCATGGGGGGAGCCAGGAAGGATAAGGTTTCTGAGAAAGTGAATGAGATAAGGGAGGATAAAACTCCGGAGGACTACAAGGCTAGCAGAGGCTTAGTGTGGGAAGGAAGAAAGGCCCAGGTCAAAGAGGCAGGCCAGAGCAGGCACTGGACACCAAACCTAAAAATGTGATGGGACTCCCTTCCAGCCTGAGCCTTTTCTAGTATCTCAGATACTAAATACCCTCCAGCATTTAGGGGTCGGAGTGCGAAAGTGGAGAGAGCGGGGATTGTAAAGTGCCCTAACTCTAATGGGGACTGAGAATGGATCCTGGCACACATTTTTTAAAGTCAGTAGGCCTAATGCTAATGCCCCCTCCCCCTACCCCACTTCCCTAGCTTCAACCCCAGCCACACCCACACGCTAAGGACCATCCAGGAGGGGGAGTGTGTGTGAGCGCGCGCGCGTGCGTGCTCGTGCCTAAGAGAGCCTGAGAGACAGAGACGAGACAAAAAGAGACCGGGAGAGAGAGAGTGCGCGCCAGAGTGGGGGGGGGGAGAGGGACAAGGACAGAAAGAGGGAGGGAGGGAGACAGAGACAGAGAGACAGAGAAAGGAGGAAGGAGAGCTGTCGGCATCGGTGAGGAAAACTACTGAAGAGATAACGCTGGGGGCTCCTGCGCGAAGACTCAGGGAGAAGATCTCAGAACTTACCCTAAGACCGTGGAAGGAGTGGGGGAATGTCTTTGCAGGACCTGGTTTTGGGGTCATCAGGCAGTAACGGTTACTGCATAGGCGTTGTCACTGAGCCAGAGCCATTTAACTCGCCCTGGGTGGCTGGAGACCAGGCTTAAGACACCCCACAACTCTGAGTCTCAGAATGGTTAGGGGGGCCCGAGGCTGCAGACAAGGGGAGGAGGGGCACGTGAGGGTTGGGTCACTGCCTCCCCCCACCCTTCGCTGTCACTCATTACCCCAACAGTCGCCCAGGGGGCGGGCCCCGGATTGGGGGGGGAGGGTAATCTTGGCAGGCGCCTGCGGCATGGCGTAGGTAGGGACTGTTGAGGGGGGCGGACGCCGGGGGGTTGAACACGAGTGGGAAGCGGAGAGAGACACGGGGAGGGGGAGGGGACCGGGAACCATTTGAATGAGAGGAGGGGATCACGGGTAGAGTGGGCTCCAGGAGGTAGGGCGGGCACGGGTGTTGACGGGGGCCAGACTCTCAAGCCAGGTAAGGGAAGCAGGTGCGTAGATCTGTTTTTTGTGGGTTAGTGTACTCGACCCTTTGGTGGAGAGGGGGTGCCGCCTTCCCCGGGGGCGGGCTTCCAAGCTCCGGAGGCTAGCTTTTCCTCCTCAACTAACGGGGCCCCGGGCGGGGGCTCAAGCTCCATCTCCAGTGCCGACGTTCCACTCCACAGTTTCCAGGCATCCACTGGGCTGGGAGTCTCGCGCCGGGGGCCGGCGCTGTCTCGCGAGCCCCCTCCTCGAGCCAGCCAATGGGGTTGGTTGCTGGCGCCGCCCGCCCGCCTGGTGCAGAGCTCTGGGCGCTGTGAGCGGCGCTGCCATTTAAAGGGGCCGCGACCCCTGTCCCGGCTGCTAGGGAGGGAGGTGGAGAAGGAGCGCGGGGCCGTCGCTGTCTGCAGTTCTAGGCTTGTAGCCTTTACACTAACCCTGCCGCAGGTAGGGGTCGAGCCTGATAAAGCCGAACCGAACCTGCAGGCGGGTTCTCGCAGTAGCCGGGAGGGGGGTCTAAGGAGAGATCGTAGCTCCAAAATGTCTTCCTGTAAATGCCTGAGGTGGGGGGTGGGCAATAGGAGAAGGAGGACTGGGGGAGCAATAGGAAAGGGGGACTGGGCTGAGGAAGTGGGCGACCCTGAAAGGTAACTGGGGGGGGAGGGGTTAGGAAGGGCAGTTTGTGGGGGCGAGGGAAGGGCTGAGGGAGGACCATGCAACGCGGGGAGGGGGGGTGGGGCCAGACAGGGTGGGTAAAGACTGGGGAACTGGGGGGCTCTAGGAGAGAGGGGAGGGGATAGAAACTGAGATCGCGGGGGCGGGAAAGGCTCCTGTTGGCAGCGGCCCTGGGAGACTCTAAGGGGGCGTTCAGCCCGCGTTGTTGGGGGGAGTGAAAGGTGAGGGGGGAGGGGAACTGGGAGTTGCAGTTGGGTGGCGGGGGCTAGGCGGGCGGGTGGAACGACGGACTGCCTGGCGAGTGGGGCACAGGGCCAGGGCGGGGAACGCCTCTCCCCACAGGGGGCGCTGTATGTTGGTGGGGGGAGTGGTCATTTGCACTAAAGCCTGTGGAAATGCTTGTCGGTTGTGGTGGGGGCGATTCAAGAGAAATCCAAGTGGATGATGGGGTGTGTCCCAGAACCTATATAAGAAGGAATTCTGGCGAAGACCACCTCTTCTGTCCTCTTTTCTACCCCTAACCTACAGCCTATATCCAGTCATCCTCATGGACCCCAGTGATTTCCCCAGTCCGTTTGACCCATTGACCCTGCCAGAGAAGCCCCTGGCTGGAGACCTTCCAGTTGACATGGAATTTGGAGAGGATCTACTGGAATCCCAGACTGCCCCAACTCGAGGATGGGCCCCCCCTGGCCCTTCTCCATCCTCAGGAACCCTGGACCTGCTTGATACCCCTGCTGGCCTGGAAAAAGACCCTGGAGTCCTGGATGGAGCCACTGAGCTGCTGGGGCTGGGAGGGCTGCTCTATAAAGCCCCCTCCCCCCCAGAGGTGGACCATGGTCCTGAGGGGACCCTTGCATGGGATGCAGGAGATCAGACCCTAGAGCCTGGACCAGGGGGCCAGACCCCTGAGGTGGTGCCACCTGACCCAGGGGCTGGGGCAAATCCCTCTTCACCTGAGGGGCTACTAGAGCCTTTGGCTCCAGATTCTCCAATAACCTTGCAGTCCCCACATCTTGAAGAGGAGGAGACCACCTCCATAGCTACAGGGCGAAGGGGCTCCCCTGGGCAGGAGGAGGAGCTTCCCCAAGGGCAGCCACAGAGCCCAAATGGCCTCCCCAGCCCTTCAGTGGGAGAAACTCTGGGGGATGGAATCAACAGTTCTCAGACTAAACCTGGGGGCCCTAGCCCCCCTGCACACCCTTCCTTGCCAGGTAGGTTGCCTGATCAGCTGGAAAATCAAGGATGGGGAGAGGGTGGGGGTAAGGATGGTGGCTGTGTGTTTGGGGAAGAAGTTGTGGGAGGAGGGTGGAGAGATAAGAGTAGGGATGTGTATGGAGGAGTTGGGAGTTTGGAAGGAGGAGTGGGGGTGTGGTGAAGAAGGTTAAGGAAAGTAGGGGTAGGGGGAGCTCAGTGACTGTGGAGGAGAAATAGGGGTGAGGTTTCAGGGGGTGGGTTGAGAAGACTGGGTTTGGTGTCAGAGGTTCCTTTTTCCTTCCCTCAGTGGGCTTTTGGTACCAGGGTCCTCCTTCCTTCGGGATTTGGGGAGGACACCAGGCTTCTTGGTTCTAAGAGCTTTCTAGCTGTTTTGTTCTAGATGAGACTGGGGTTTCTGGGTTTGATGAATGATAACTAGGCTCTGGAGCCACCAAGTGCATAGTGATTTCAGAGGAATGGTAGACATGCAGGGCCTAGGATTGTGTCTCTGATAGGGGAGGGCCAGCCTAGACTTGAGAGGCTCGCATTTCTCCCCAATTCTGCCTAGTGTTGTGCCTCTCCCAGGCTGTGACCGGGGTCTTAGGGCTTATATAACCATCTGAGTCCAGGGGAACCTCCCCATACATTAATGCTTCCTTTTTCCCTTGCTACCTTTGGGTGGTTGCATTTGTTTTTGTTGATAAACTATAAATGCTTGATGAAAGGTGTGTTACTTGTGTTTCCTTAACTCCCAATGATTGGGACAGAAAGCTGGTGGGAAGGTAGGATTTTTTTCATGGAGAATAGCTGCGTGCCCCCCC